AACCCCCACGAGAACCCCGTCAGGAACCCGCTGCCCTCTCCCCTCCCAGCCTGGGGTCTGAGCCCGGCGGCAGACTCTGGGTTCCTCCCTCTGGCACCGACGATGGATGAAAGCTCCTGGAGAAAGCAATCCCACGGGGAAAGGGGCTTGGTGGCACCGGCGGCCATCTGTCCCCAGAATGCTGCTGCGCTGAGCCGCCCGGCGCGGACCCCGGCAGCCGTGATCACCGAGACCCGGCCAGGCAGCCCGCGGTGCCTGGGACACAGCGCAGGCACACGGAGGAATTTCGCGGTGTGCCATCACAGCAGAGAGGTGTGCGGGGCTCGCAGAGCCTCCCCCGCACGCAGCGGAGCCCAGCCCACGGGAACCTGTCCCCAGCTGTCCCCCCAACACTCTCGGGTCTCTTCAGTCAGGGGATCAGTCAGGGGTGGCCCTGGGAAGGTTCCACGCAAGGTCTGCGATAAACGCCGATCAGACACGCAGGAGCTGACACAGACACCAACACACAACTTTCCAGTACCTGGACAACTTGTCGAACATGTTGACTAACTTCATGGCTTCGTATTCCTTCTGCTCTTCGGTCATCCCTTCCATGGGGTTGGGGAGCTTCTCCTCGACACGGCCCGTCACAGGGTTAATGCTGCAAGAAGAACAGTGAGGCCGGGGCACAGGAGGGAGGCAGAGCGGGGCAGTGAGAAGAGGGATGTGTAGAAACCTCCTTTGCCTCTGCTGAGCACAGGAACACAACGGCAAGGCCGGCTGTCACTGCTGCTCCTCTCGAGAGCCCCAAGAGCTGTTGCAGTGCAACGTGGGGCTTCCAGCTCTGTCCCGTGCACGGCTGTCCCCCTAAAAATCCCTCCCGTTCCTCTGGTGCGACCGACATCCCCATCCCACCCACTCCACAGCGCTGCTCTACACCAGGTGCACGAGGGCAGACGACACTTCTACCCTCCCCAGAAACCAAAAGAACCGAAACCCAACCTGCAGCCTGCCTGGAGCAGGGTGCTGGAGAGCCCGCGACCCGCAGCCGAGCACAGCCCTGAGCTCTCCCTGCACACCCCTCACCCCCAGTTACTGCCACCTGCGAACAGGCAAAATAAAATAAAAAAACAACAAAAAATGCACAAAGAATTGTCTCACTGCAGCAGCACAGGGAGATGGAGATGGAGAAACTGGCACTCCCAGCCCTGCTGCAAGCAGGGACACCCTTATCCCTTACGCCAGCACACAGCAGAAGCTTCCCCTGTGCTGAGACACGTGGGTGCCAAAAAAATCCTCTAAGATGTGGGTTAGAGAGAGAAATGCTGCCACAGGCACACCGTGAGCAGGCCTGGCGTGGAGCGAGCTCTGGCGGAAGGAACCCGCTTTGCTCGGAGCCTGTGCCCGGCTGCAGGGACCGAACATGCGCCCCGGTGACCACCCGCACCACGAGCGGCTCAGCCAGGGAGGGATTTCACCCAGGGACAGGGAGAGACGGGGAAACAGGACGGGAAAGCTGGGGAGAGACGGGGAAACAGGACGGGAAAGCTGGGGGGATCTGCCAAGGGACGCGGGAGGAGATGGCAGGGAGGCAGGGGAAGAAAGGGACAGAGCAGGAGTGGGGAGAGGGGGGCTAGAGGGGGGAGCAGGCTTCTTTACTTGGGCTTTGCCTCTTTGTACTCCTCGGTGTCCGTGTCTTCATCTTCCGAGTACTCGCCCTCTTCCCGACCGCCAGCCATGAGGCCTCGTGCCGCCAGCAGCCCGGCCGCGTTCCCGTAGCCCGTGTACTTCACAAACCGCGACACTGCGGGGAGAAGGGGACA